GCGTGTGCCCGGGAACTTGTCCTCGAGCAGCTGCAGGCAACTGTCCAGCTCAGCCAAAGTGGCCGACAATGTCTCCCGGGGCACTGGCTGATGCAGCAGGACAGGGAACATCATCTGGTGGGCCAGCGGGAGACAGAGTCAGAACCATGGCAGCACAAGCCTATAATCCCAGCACTGCGGGAGGCTGAGGTGGGAGGATCACAAGGTCAAGCCCAGCTCAAGAAACTTCGTGAGACTCTATCTCAAGATAAAAAATAAAATAGGGCTAGGGATGTAGCTCAGCGTAAAAAGGCCCTTGGTTCAATCCCCAGGAGAGGGTAAGGGGCGACTGTACACAAACCCATCCTTTACCCCACCCTCATCCCAACCATCTTCAGTGTTATGGATTTCCCCGGTGCGGAAGCCATCCCGTCCCTACTCCCTAGCACCTCTCAACTGTACCCCAAATGGCTCAAGAGGGACTTGTGTGATTCCGGTGAGATGTGGCTAAACTGTATGTTCCTAGACGTCATGGCCAGCCTCCTCTGGCATTCCCAGGACTTGGCTCCAGGTCTGAACAGAACACTTAAAACAGAAAGCACCAATTTTTTTTTTTTTTTGTACCAGGGACTGAACTCTGGACCTTGCTCTTACAATGCAGGCAGCGGCACCACTGAGCTAAATCCCGGGCCCCAGAATGCACCATTCTTGGCGCCACCCTCAAGGTATTCCTGCTTCCCCTGGCTCACCTTCTGCCACGTAGCCCGAGTGCAGCAACTCCGCAGAGCTGTGTGCTGCCAGGATAGGTACTCATCCACCTTGGCTCGGGCCCGCAGGTCCTGGGGGTACCAGTGGTCAGGGGTCTTGTACTTGCGACTCAGATACAGCAGAATGGCCACACTGGGGGGGATAGAGCAGGGGTGGCAGTCATGCCCCACTCACGGTTCAGCATTTGGTGGGGCGCGTTCACCATTTACAGGGTACAGAGCAAGAATGTGAGGCCGTCCAGCTCACACAGCCCTGCACTGGGCCATTCCATCATCTGCACTAAGGACATCAAGGGAGAAACAGGATACATGGGTTTCAGAAGGAGCCAGGAGCTTGGAGAAGGATTCCAGGAGGAAGGAGCCCTCGGTGTGAGTCTTAAAGAAGGAGAGCACTCAAGTACCACTCCTCCTCGCACCCACAGGATGGACAGTCAGGAGCAAGGCCACCGCCCCTCTCACACTCTCCTGAAATTGGCAGGCTCCACAGGGACCTCTCCACTTGCTCAGACTTTCCCGCTTCCTCTTCCTCGAAGCCCTCCCTGACCTTCTCCCCTCCTTTCTCCCTCAGTTCTCCAGGGCAGCGGCACTTCCCTGAGGATTTGTAGGAGAAGTGGTCACTCTGAGGTGGCTCCATATTTTTTTTCTCTCTCTCTCTCTCTCTCTTTTCTTCTGAAGCTTGGGCTCACAGGGAAGCAGGTTTGGCCCTTAACCGTGCAGACTTATCCCAGTTTTAGTTTCCTCATCTGTACAACGCAGTGGGCACCTCTGCTTGCTTTAGCCCACCCTCCACCCTGGGATTGGAACTGGTCCTAGGGATGCGGAACTGTGGCCCCTGACCACACACCTGTAATCACAGCACTGGGGAAGCTTAAGGCAGGAAGATCACTGCTACTTTGAGGTCAGCCTGGGCTACAGAGTGAGACCCCGTCTCAAAAACAAAGAAGCAAACTGTGGCCCCAGCTAGGAGCAGTGGACATGAACAGCTGGCTACCCCTGGGGGCCAGGAATCTATTACCTCTCAGCCAAGATGAAGTCCCCATCCTTCAAGGCAGGCACCTTCCTCAGGGGGTTGACCTGAGCAAAGGAATCCGTGTAGTGCTGGCCTGTGGGCAAGATCAGGCGAGTGAGCAGGTAGGAGAAGAACTCTGAGCTCTCTGAGATCTCTGCCTGTCCCCATCCATAAACTCAGGCCCTGGCTTTCTGAGGGGACCCCAGGAAAGAGGAGCCCCCTGTGCTGGTCCCTGGATCACAGACGCTGATCCCATCCGTCGTCCACCTGCCCTATGCCCGTACCTTTGAAGCAAGCAGAATCCCAATTTGGGCTTGTGGCCAGGTGACCCACCTGCCACCCCCAGTCAGTTCCAATCTTGCGTTAGACACTCCAGGTTTGCCCCTCTGATTCATCTTCCTATCCAGGGGGAACGCAGGCCCTTCTGACCAGGCTGGCTGAGCCTCAGTCACCCTTGGTCACCTCACACCACCCTTGTTTTTGCTGAGAACACCTGCCCTATTCAGCCACCCAGCCTCCTCAACACTTCTTCCCTTCCAGTGCCAACCCCTCCAATCTCCCTCCTTAATGCAGGTTCCCAGGACCGGCTCACTTTCACCTGCCTCACCCTCCAGTCCAGGAGGTGCTAAGCTAATTTGCAGGGAGTCAGAGAGCCTCAGGGGAGGGCCAGGTTTCAGCCTGACCAGAGGGCTACTCGTGGTCCTTGTGCTAAACGGACACCACCACCCCTGCCGGTTCTTCCCCGAGAAACGGCCTGCGTCCAGCCAGTCCTACTGGAGGTGACCCAAGCCAAGAGTATCAAAGGCAGCGGGGGAGGGGGTCAGCTGGTGGGGGGCAGCCCAGGGGGCTCTGGCTTGGTGCGGCCCTGCTGTCCAGTCGAGGCCCTGCCTCCTCCTCTGGACTCTGCTCCAGCTGTGTTTTGCAGGCCAAGCAGAACAGCAATGCTCTCCAGAGACTTTAGGGCCCGCCAGAAGGGCAAGAGCAAGTCATTAGCTAGAAAAAGAAAAAGCTGAAAAATGCCAAAGAAGATAGAAAAATGCAAGGAATCTAGGCAGAGGTACTTAGGTGTGAAGGAGAGTCTGGGCAGAGGGAAGAGGGTCTCCTTGAGGAAGATGTAGGAACAACTCCAATAAAGAAATGAGGTGGCAGTCCAATTGCTTTCTCCAACCCAAGGGACCGGTATTCCGATCCTGACTATACGTCCCTCCCGGGTCCTCTTCTGCTCCCGTTTTCCAGTATTTTGAAGAACGTCTTGTATTCCTTAGGCAAAGACTAGGAGGGTACTTTAAAAACAACGGGTAACTGGTGCTACCGGTCTGGAGAGCTGATGTCTCCTACCTTTCTCTTTCTACACGCCCAGTTCTGACCGGTCGAACCGGGCCGAGAGACGGAAGCCCGCCTGCACCCCGGAGCCCGGGCTCCCCAGCCCAGCTGCCCTGCCCACCTTTCAGCAGCTCCACCGTGCGCAGCTGGAAAGGGATGTCATTCTTCTTGGCAAAGATGTAGACTGCTCGGCAGGGCTGGGACATAAGGTCCAGGTAGAGTTCCAGGCCCATTGCGGGGGGCGCCTGTGCGGGGCGGACGCCGGCTAACCTAGGAGCTGAGATAAAAACAGCCGGAAGGAACGGCAGGGCCGGGAGTCGAGCCGCTGAGATCCACAGCCGGAGGAGCCGGGCCCGACCACGCCCTCGATGCCCATTGGCTGGCTCCGGAGAACTCTAGCCCAATCAGGCTCTTGGCCTCCTTCCCTCCCTCCGGCAGAGTATGGGCTGCCTGTGTTCTTCCCAGGGAGGTAGGGCACAAACAAACCCGTTTACCTGCGGGGTGGGGGATCCGCCGCCAGGTCAGACCTCTTTCCTTGACCCTCAATGTCGACTTTCATCGAATGGTGCGCGGAGAGCCTTAATGAGGAACGAGACTCCTGCGATGCTTCCGATACGAACAGTGGATTTAAGGTGAAAAGACCTGGACTGTCTGCATTCAGCCCAAGGCCCTCCCTCTACCCTGGCAGAGAGCTGAGAGGAGTGGCTTCGGAGTCCCCTGGAACTCAAGGGGAGATGAAGCCACCTGCCCCGGGCACAGCGCCCAGGATGGAGGGCTGGGGAGGATGTTTGTAGAGGCCCGGCCCACACCCAGAGAGGACTTAGCCCTCTCTCCAAACCCCCAGGGTCACATTCCTTACACTCCAGCTAATCCCTCCCCCAGAAGCTAGTGGCCCTTTAGGTCCCATCCGGAGGACTGCAGGGGTGCCTGGGATTGGACAAAGCCTCCCCGCCCTTTTCGCAGGGCCAAGTCCTGCCACCCACAGTTCTGGAGCTCCTGAGACCAGTGGCCATGCCACGCCTATCTCCAAAGAGACCTTCCGGGGATGGGAAGCCCCGATACCCCAGACCCTCATAGAATGCCCCTTGGGAATCAAGGAAAGCTTTGTCTTCCTGGTTCTAAGAGTTCCCTTTTAAGATCCATCCCCAGGGAGAGAAAGTCCCTTCCTGACATAACAGTACAGGCCTCTGCAGCCAGAAAGGAGCCACACTCTCCACTCCCCCACCCTCCTCTGTATTAGCCCTGCTTTCTTCCTGGCTGCCTTCCAGACCAACCCCTACTAACATCCAGAATATTATTCTGTGAAATCTCAGCCCTTTGTCCCCCTGCCTAGGAATGGCGTTTATGCCCCTGCATCATTGGGTCCTGATCAGACCACCTGCTGTTTGGATAGCTGTCCTCCGGACCAATTCCTCAGGACAGATGCAAGGCCATGCATGTGCTAGGACACTGGCCTGGTCCCTAGATCAACCACCATGCCTACAGCCAACATAGGAGATGCTGCTGAGCCCAGGGGTATCTCACAAATCATCCAGCCAGAACCAGAAGACGACAGGATATTGGTGCATTTCACTCTTGGCAACCATCGGGGGAAGCTGACCCTCAGGGCATGGGAAGGGGAATCATCTTTTGGACAAAGACCCAGACCAGGGTCAGTTCACAAGAAGGTCAAATAAATCACATGATAGAAGCGGGGGGGGGGTAGTGGCGCACACCTGTAATCCCAGCACTTGGGAGGCTGAGGCAGGAGAATCGCTGTGAGTTCGAGACCAGCCTGGGCTACGTAGTGAGTTCTAGGTCAGTCTCAACTACAAAGTGAGACCCTGTCTCAAAAAACAAAAAATAACAACAACAACAAAATCACACAATAGAGTTGGAAGCTGAGGCTCACAGTGAGTCTACGTTTATTATGCAAATTTAAAATGTAGTGATTAAAGGCCTGGATGTGTGTCATTGGTGGTTTTCTGGCTACTATAGAAGAGAAGGTGGGGATGGCGCTCTGGCCTGGGGGCCGAGGTGTGGTATTTCTAGGGCAAGCCACTCCAGCCCTCTGGGCCTGCCCCGAAAGAGACAGTGGAGATAAAGGTGCTTTGTGAACTGCCAAGGGCAGGGCAAAGATGAGACTTCCAAGCTCACCGGATCAAGGCCAGCACCCTAGGCATCACCTTCTGCTTTATGGTGGGGTCAGCAGGTGGAGAGTCCTTGACCTTCAGGATGACTTCATGGGCCTCCTGGAAAAGGCCCTCCCCTACGGCGGCCTCCACTCGCCGGTGCCACGCAGCCAGCTTGGGTCGGCCTTGGAAGACTTGGCAGCCAGCACCCACAGCCTGTAGAGTGAAGGAGACAGAACGAGGATGCAGTGAAGCCAAGGACTAACCTCATCTACTTGGTTTGAGAACTCCAGAGCATAGAAGAGGTTTCCACAATTAAGCACGGCCCCACAGCCTTCGGGGGCAGCACGAACAGAACTTCAGCAACTGGACAGCGCCGCCGCCCATCCTAATGCGCCCACCGGCACCTAACACTTACATGCATCAGCTCCGTGATGGCTACCAGGTCAGCCAGGGAGATCTGGGGTCCAACGAGAAAAGCTTTGTTTTGGAGGAACTTGTCCTCGAGCACCTGCAGGGTCTCATCCAACTCTGCCAAGGTGGCTTCCAGCAGCTCAGAAGACACTTGCTCACCCAGGAACACAGGGAACATCACCTGACAGGTGGGTAAGCAGTGGGGAGTTAGACGCCAGCCCTCCCTTCGTTGCAGGAGGGCAGTGCCCCATCATTGGTGCTGCCTTTGGCTCATCTTTCTTCCCTGGCACAGTAAGGCCGGCGTGGAAATCCCAATGTCAGCCCATCCACACACGGATGTGATAAACCCAGCTTTTCCCAGCTAGCTGCTAGAGTCTCCTGATCTTTAGTCCCTGTTAACCGGAAAAAACTTTTCTTTTTCTCACAACAAAGAGCCTGTTTTTCGACAAGTGGATTCATTGTAACACATACGTCAAGGGTATGTGGTCTGAGAAATGTGTCATTAGATGATTCTGTCAGTATGCAAACATCACAGAGTATACCTAAACCTAAATGTCACAGGTCAGTCCCTCAAAAATGGCCTCGATACAGTCGTTACACGGTTAAACATGGGATATGAGGCTGCTGATGGCATCACGCAGCAAACTATTTTACACTGACCTTTTTATAAGTAAGCATACTCCACAGGGCATGGTGGCACAGGCCTGTGATCCCAGCACTTGGGAGACTGAGTAAGGAGAATCACTGTAAGTTCAAGGCCAGCTTGGGGTAAATAGTGAGCTGGGCTGGTCTTGAACTACATGGCAAGACTCTATCTTAAAAAAAAAAAAAGGATGTGCACTCTAAAATAACAATGAGAAGTATAATAAATGGACAAGCCAGTAACAGTTGTTCTCATATTAGATATTATGTATTACCAGGCATGGTGGTGCATGCCTATAATCCCAGCACTAGGGAGGCTGAGGCAGGAGGATCACTGTGAGTTTGAGACCGGCCTGAGCTACATAGTGAGTTCCAGGGCAGCTTCAACTACATAGTGAGACCCTGTCTCAAAAAAAAGAAACACAAACAAACAAAAAACAAATAAATAAATAAATATTATGTACTATACATAGTTGTTTGCTATATACTTTTACACAACTGGCAGCACGACAGGCTTACACTATGACATTATGATGACTATAACGTCACTAGGCAATAGGTATTTTTCAGCTCCATCATACTCTTATAGGACCACAGCATATATGTGGCCTGTTATTGACTGGACTGTCATTATGTAGTGCATGGCTGTAAATATTTTATAGCCTCTTTTCCCCAAATATAAAACCAGAAGCTGTTACAGCACAGGTCATCAGGAGGATGGGCTTCTAAGGTCTCCACACTGTCACTTAATAAGCTGTATGACCTTAAGCAAAATATGTTCAAACTCTCCGACTTTCAATTTCCTCATTTGTAATAAGGAAAAGTCACCATAGATGGGCTCATCTTATAAAAGGGAAAACGAAGCCCACAGAGGGACAGCCAGTGGCACAAGATAGCACAGTCCTGAAAAGACTAAGCCGAGCATAGAACTGATGCCTACCCCACCCAGGGACGGAGGAGGAAAGCCAAGAGGGGAGGTCGCCAGCATTCCAAGGGGAAGGAGGGAGAAGCCATTAACTGCCCCCGGCTACACAGAGATGTCTGGGAAATACAGCGGCTGAACACTACAGGGAGGGTGAATGCTCACTCGAGTATAATGTTCGGTAAAGTTGCTTGGCAGGAAGAGCGAGGACTGGAGCCCTAGCTTTGCGCTTCAGTTTCCTCCCCGTACAAGGAAGAGGGGATCAAATGGCCAACAGTGGCCTAGACGAGTCCTGGGCTAAAAACATTCCTCTGGCTACAGATACTTTGGAAATATTAATCAGCTGCTGGCACTTAAAAACTGCACCATCTCATACAAAGATCTCGATTTCCAGCTTCTTTTTAACTTAAGGAGTGTGAGGCATATGGGGCCGGCTTTCCTGCCTGGTATCCGGCGCATGGTTGTAACTACGCTGGGCCACTTCATCAGGAGGGCCTTGTCTGTGAGTCCCCACCCAGCCCACCTCCCTCAATCATGTACCCACCTCACCCACGCGACAAGACAGTCCACATTCCCTTTGGTTCCAACGTGGTGGTTTCAAAGTCCCTAGGGATCTAAAAAGCCATTTCATTCCTCTTTCAATTTCAAACACAGTCATGTGTCACACAACAATATCTCAATCAAGGATGGACCGCCTACTGTCACGGTGTTCCTGTGAAGATTGTAATGCAGCTGAAAAACTCGTCCCGCCTGGCCTAAGCACACAGGACAAAGCAAATAGGCTGCTTCCAGCAAACAACAAAAGCTTCTCGGTAAACAGGACAAGTGGACTCCAAATGAAATATAAGATCTAACCCCCGCACCGAAAATTCCAATGACTGTCTAGACACCAGTGCAGACTGTCCTCAGATTCGGTCTTAAACATTTCACCCCAGATTCCCTAGCCTCTTCAATACCTACATAAACCTAATTCCTTTACCAGTTAGCTGCTTATATCTCCCTCCTGGGATTAGCCCATCCACCCACAGATGAAATCTCTCCCAGCCAGCTGCTGTGACATCTCCCTCCCAGTGTCAGCCCATCCACACACACGTCATAAACTCAGCTTTTCCCAGCCAGCAGCTAGAATCACCCCGATTTGAGTCCCTGTCCACTGGAATAAACTTTTCTTCTTTTCACATCAAAGAGCCTATTCTGACAAGTGGATCATGGGCACCATCTATAACACCCCATTGCCTAGTGACACCATAGCTGTCACAGCAGTACCACACAATCATTACTCAAGAGCTTATGATGCAGCTGGTGTACCCACACTGTGTAAGCTATAGCATGTAAAACTGAGTAGTTCATAAACCTGATATGGTAAGTGACCATGTTACTGGTTTGTATACTTACTATACTATACTTTCGCTGTTATTAGAGTCCTCTTCTACTTGCTTAAAAAAAAGTTTATTGTAAAATAGCCGTGTTTCACAGGCAGCAGCCTCATAGGTCTCTTGGTTGTTGCATCCCTTGTTTTCATCAAAAGACCTGGTGTAGTGACACACACCTGCAAGGTTTTTTGAGGGGGTTTCCCTTGGGTTTTTTTGTTTGTTTGTTTGAAACAGGATCTCACTATGTAGTTGAGACTGACCTGTAACTCACGATGTAGCCCAGGCTGGTCTCGAACTCACAGCGATCCTCCTGCCTCAGCCTCCCGAGTGCTGGGATTACAGGCATGCGCCACCACGCCCGGCTTCCCTTGGGATTTTTTGAGACAGGGTCTTGCTATATAGTTCAGGCCGGTCTTGAGCTCAACATGATCCCCTTGCCTCAAGCCTCCTGAGTGCTGGGATTAAAACTGTACACACACATCTGGCTACAACTCCAAGTTGAGCCTGGCCTAGGCAACTTAGTGATTTAATGAGACCCTGTCTCAAAACAAAATTTAAAAAGGCTATGCTAGGGCCAGGGATTTAGCTCAGTGGTGCCACTGCCTGTCTGGCAAGCACAAAGTCCTGTGTTCACCACCCAGTATCAAAAACAAAGACTATGCTTGCTTGGGCAGCAAATATACTAAAACTGGAATGATACAGAAAAGATCAGCACACAAGGATGAAGCATTCCGTGTTAAAGGGTGGGGTGAAGCTGTAGCTCAGTACAAAGGTTCTGGATTCAATCCCCAGTATCACACACACACACACACACACACACACACACACACACACACCATCAGATAATTGAATAATTGACCTAGGCCATCTATAATTGTGTACCTACCTTCTAGAATGTTGACAAATGATGAAATGTCCTACTGATATTTCTTAGGAAAAAATGTATCCCCATCATTAAGCAATACATGAAAGTGTTACAATAAAGCAATAAATAAATTCTGGTTTATTCATACAATACAGCAATTAAGAAGGAAGGAACTAGGGGGGCTGAGTGTGTGGTGTCAGTGGTACAGCAACTGCCAAGCATGTACAAGGCCTGGAGTCAATCCCTAGAACAGTACTGCAAATTAATTGATAAAGCAATCAGTCCACTCATACAGTGTTCCTGGTCTGCAAGGGATATTAAAGTAATTAGACAGCCAGCCACAGTGCCACGAGCCTATGATCCCAGCATCCTTGAGGCCAAGCCAAGAGGACTGCTTCAAGTTGCCACAAATTCAGGGCCAGCCTGTGGTTCAGCTTGAACCACATAGTGAGAATTTGTCTCAAAAAAAAAAAAAAAAGACCAAAAACTTTTTTTTTATTTTTAAAAAATGATTTAGAGCCAGGCATGGAGGCACATGCCTATAACTCCAGCACTCAGGAGGCTGAGGCAGGAGGATCGCTGTGAGTTCAAGACCAGCCTGGGCTACATAGTGAGTTCCAGGTCAGTCTC